TGCACCACTTCACGTGATGACAGGAACATTGTGCGCATGTCAGTGACGGATCGCTCAGTCACATCACGAACCATAACACAGCACATTTAGCCTGTAACGCATCATCCAGTGTCTGCGCGTACTATTCGATGCCGTTTACAGCAGAGGGGTCTGTCCGCAAGACGTCCTTTGCGTCGTCTACCCTTGACGCGGAACCACAGTCGGTTCCGCCGCCAATGTTGCGATGAAAGAAGGATGTGGACGGCAGAATGGAATAAAATTCTCTTTACTGACGAGTCACGCTTCTGTCTGCAACACCACGATGGTCGGATTCGAGTCAGGAGACACCGTGGAGAGAGAATGCTGAACAGCTGCGTTATGCACCGCCACACTGGTCTTGCACCAGGTATTATAGTATGGGGCGGTATTGGATATCACTCTCGAACTCCTCTAATTGACGGTACTTTAAACAGCCAGCGCTACATCTCCGAGATGTTGGAGCCAATTGTCCTTCCTTACCTTCAGGGCTTGCCCACAGCCATATTTCAACAGGATAATGCGCGACCACACGTGGCACGCATTGTCCAAGGGTTCTTCGTCAATCGCCAGATTGAATTGCTTCCCTGGCCGGCTTGCTTTCCGGATCTTTCGCCGATAGAAAACATGTGGTCCATGGTTACTGAACGATTGACCCAGATTACATCCCAAGCTGCCACGCCAGATCAACTTTGGCAACGTGTGGAAGCTGCTTAGTCTGCTGTACCCCAAGAACACATCCAAAGTCTTTTTGAATCGATGCCGAGGTGTGTGGAAGTGGTAATCTCCAACAATGGCGGCTACTCTGCCTACTGATTCTGGAAGGAACCATACTTCACAGAAATCTATAATTTTAATCATTTGATACTTGGTCAACACGTTATCTGCGAAATAAATTTTGTTGTGATATCTCTTGTCTTTCTTGGTGTTGCAATTTGGGTGGCCAGCAGTGTATCTTAGCAGGTTTCACCATTTTCTCCTAGAGAGCGTTATTAATACCCAAATGATGTAACACGAATGATTATGTAATCTTTGACTACTAGCTTATTTTAAGTTTGAACTTGATGTTACTTTAAATTGCATTGCCACAAGCAGTTGGCGTACTTGTAAGCACGAGTTGTGCATTTCTGTTCAATTTCTGATTTAATACAAAGTTTGTTTAAGCCTTAAGAAGACTCTGTGGCTACTTTTAGATTTAGCGGTAATTCAATATCAATATATATAAAGTTTGTTTCTGGTAGATGGTAGCTAAAAAAAGCTAAACTTAAAAAAATATAATGTTTTATTTCTCTTGTTTACTGGAATTTTTCATAAATAATTAGAACTATAGTTTGTATTAGCAATTTATTTATAAATAACTACAATATACACTAATGAAATTAAAATCGGTTTTGATGTTTATTTTAACACGGCAAAGCATGTGAGGGCTATCTGCTTAAAATGGTTGCGATGGCTCTAGTGAATATACTATAATATTACTTTTTAGACACAGATTTCAACTAATAACTGTTATTAAAGAAACAAAAGAAAAAAAAAGTGCTCAGGTTTTACCGTCGTCCAAAAGGGTTTTGCTAAGGTGTTTTACGCTTTCGCTAAACTTGTAGTCTACCAGTCTTTACAAAAATTGTAAAAGCAGCATAGCAATATATGTTCAGGATTCCCCATGCAGCTTTGGCATACATTTTTCTGGGTTTTTTTCCAGTCTTTTCTCAGTTCATCATTTAAATGTTTAGTTTTCTTCCTAAGATGGCTTTACAAAACTTTTGTCTTTTTATTATTAGTGTTTTATGTGTTTACTTTATTTATTAAATATCGTATTCTTGGCGCTTACGCCACATAAAATTCGATTCAAGGGCAAAATCACAAAGTATTTAATAAGAAAATAGCTTGAGAACTTCCGATAAACAAATAAAATCCGATAAATTCTCCCGTGCAGGATGTTCCCTCTGTTTTCGCCACTGCTCGCTCTTAAATCTTTGAGTTTGTTAGTCAATATTTCGTTTAAATTTTACAAAATATCAAATAGCTGATAAAACAAATTCAAAATTTAGGCTACCAGGTGCTCGTATTCGAGTGGAGGATTACGTATTCAAAATTTGATTACTCTAATGCAGATTCCTCATTATTAAATTTCTTTCAGATATAATACAGAGCAATAATAGTATCTGGTTGGCTTAGTTTGAAAACTGATATTCCGTTTCTGGTGATTCAACGCAAAATGGCATTTCGGGACTAATATCCCATTCGAGACTTAAAGTCCCTTTTGGGTTAAAAACTGCTGCAGCTAGAATTTTTGAAAGAATCAAATTTTTCTCAGTCTGAAATGTTGAATCTTTCCAGAAGCATTTGTTGAATATGTTTGTAACGTCACCATTTCTTTCCGGAGTACATTCATAAAATACTTTTGAATCTTTTCCAAAAAAATTCAAACTTGTCTTCTCCAGAGAAACCGCAGTTTTATTTTTAAATTCACGTGGTTTAGGCTGTTATGTAATTTGCAAAGAAGAGAGGAATTCATGCATCTTTTACGTAGTGGCGTTTTTTTTTTCTTTTGTTAAATGCTTTATTTGCAGCCTTCCTAAACTACATAAAATGAGAAAATTACACATCTCAAAATAGCATTCCTAATTTAAAAGTATATAAAAAAGTAGGCTTATTTTGGCTTATATATTTAACAAGCTTTATATATTTCGAGAGTGCTAAAATAAATGTCTCTTTTCTTCACAAGCAAAAACATTTTTTTCCAAACTGTATAAAAATATTTTTGCTTGCAACGAAAGGTGACCTGCATCTGATCACCCTTAAATTGATAGTTTTATTCAAAATTTGCGTCAATTAAAGTTTTTTTCTCCTAATTTAAAATTTTACATTCGCGTATTTCTGTCCCGCTTGGTGTCATAACTCATTGTGCTCATGATTTTTACTCTTGGTTTTAAACTAAAGAAGAGCAATTGTATCTTTTTATAAGTTTTATGGTACACTCTGCACAAAACAAAGGGTCAGTTCTATATGTCTCGTTCTACTAGACCGATTAACGAAATTCAATTTGCATTTCTCATGTCTCGAAAACGCGACTTAGGACGTGTATTAGATTTATAAAGCGTTGCTCTAACATAGTTACTTTGACACATAATCGAACTTTTCCTGAGATGACATACCTATTTTGTTCCCTATTTCAATTCTACGACTCAGACTACGGCCAAGTACTAAATTTTGTAACATTTGATGAGAAACGTATAGAGAAAGTTATCTTTGCGCACCTTTTTCACATTCCGCTAAGAATAATTCTTTTGACGAAATCCTTAATTTATGGTAACCTATTTTCCTTTATCTTTTTACAGTGTGCACAAGGGGAGAAAAAAGATGCAACATTCATTCTTTTCAAATAATTTCAACAAAGTGCGTAAACCACATATGGCATTATTATCGCTTATAACAGTTATGCCAAACTTCAAAACGCGCCATTATATAAATTCATGTATATTTTGGGATATTTTAACAATAAAAAAAAAAAAAAAAAAAAAAAAAAAAAAAAAAAAAAAAAACTAAGATTTTTTGCTGGTATGCCTAGAAATTCATCTACTTTAAGGTGATAGTAAAAATTTTATATACGTCGTAATTAAAAACGTTTTTCGAAAAAATTATACAAAATACAAATTTTAAAAGCAAATCAGAAAATAGCTGCGAATTCTATTTGGAATGAAACTAAGATTCAAATTGTGAAAGAAGGAATTTTAATAAAATAAAGTTTAATAAAAAAAGAGATATTAATAAATATGTACGAAACTGAATTAGCATGGCGCAGATAAAATTATGAGAGCTAATTGTTTCAAAATTGCTTGTGCCATTTTTATAAAACTTGGCACTCTGGAATAATTTGAGTCGTCGAATCGAAATATGGAAAATAAGAGGAACGTATTTCAGATTTTGTCCGATTTTGTGTCAGAATACCTTTGTTGAATAATTGTTATATATAGTAAACCTAATAGACATCCTAAGTCGCATTTTTAAAGCATGGAAACCATACGAGTTAAACTTCGTCAATCGGCCCAGTAGATTGGGAGATATAAAAGTGCCCTTTTTTCCCAAAGAACGAAATATGGCAAATAATAGGAATGCCATTTCAGAAAAAGTCCGATTTTGTGTCAGAATACCTTTGTTAGAATAATTGTTATATATAAACCTAACAGACCTCCTAAGTCGGGCTTTCGAAGCATGAAAAACACGAGTTAAATTTCGTCAATCGGCCCAGTAGAACGGAAGATATAAAAGTGCCTCCCCCCCTTTTTTGCGTAGCTTGTACGTAATATTGACGTAGTGGTAAATATTTTAATTCTTTGGACAATAATGGAAAAACATTATTTTAAAATATGATGGCTTATGTCAGAATTAAAGAAGCCAGAATTCGTTATCTAATTTTCATTGAAGAAAACGCATTTCTTCTACATTATATATCAGAAGTTCTCTGCTAGAGGCTATTTCATTGGCGAAATGCAATGAGCCTTTTATTTAGCTGTTAAGTATTTAGCTTTAGTTTATGAATGTAAAAAAGTACTTTTTTCACACTTTGGTATTTATCAATATTTTCTGTACAATTTTGTCCTTTAATTTACAAATAGATTTTAAAAATATACTTAATTAAAAGGTATTAAAAGTAATCGCAATCGAAATTAATATGTCTGTATTGTTTCTAGTTTGGGAAGGGAAGGTGAAATTTGAAATTTAGGAATTTTCAAAGGGGTGCATGGAGCAAAAAAGAAGGAGAACCACTGCTTTAGATTAATATTCTTTATGACACTTATAGAACGACACGAGTATGATATTAAATTTTTGTCTCTCTTATATGGAAAGCGAATTATTATTAATTAAATTTATCTAGAACGTTTTTTGCATAATATTTTATCAGAAGGATCAATTTATATGTATTGATTTATTATGTATTTGAAGCTTTATACAAAATAATAAGATAATATTTTTTCAGATAGCGTGGGAAGTAATATGATATATGTGGACGAAACAGAAGAGAAAGATGGTATGTAATAATCAAAACTGATTATTTTATCTTTAATTTCTAAGCTTACTGATTTCTCGTACCAAATACTGATATTTTTCTTACTAAAACTTAAAAGGTTTGCAACACAAAATAAAATGTTTGTTGGAACTCTATTTTTTATTCTAATGGAAAGCGTTTAAAATAGTATTTTACAATAAATCAAATTAAGCAATAATATCTCCAAAATATTTATAATGGGAATCTGATAGTTACTGATTAAAATTTTTATTGAAATTTACTCCGCAGTTCTTTTTTTAATAATATTAGACATTACTGTTTAAGATTATACCTACCTAATGAAAACTAGCATTATATTATAATGTAGGATTACACACCTTATCCTAGAAGTCTTTCCCGGGCCTTCTGTTTCCCTACATCACGAAAGCTTTCAAATCATTAATTATGAAGGCCATTAGTTATTTTGCACTAGCCACCATTTGGAAACCAGGCTTATTGTGAAAGCAATTTTTGAGTTTGTGGAGGCCTGTGACAAGGGCTTCAAAAATGAAGGGGCAGGAATCACGACTCTCTGTAATTCATTAGAGACCAGATAAGGAGATCCCAGAAATGATTTTGCATTATTTCCGCATGTCAGATATTTTCCAATATACCAAAAGGAGTTGAGTAGTTTAGGGTGATTTATGTTTAAAGTAAGGTTAGATAATTAAATTATTTATGTTGCTGTCATGTAGTTTAATATTGAATAATGTTACAAAAATAGTACTTTTCCATTAAAGAAACACCAACCAACTGTAACAGTTGGGTATGTTTACATACACACACTGTTGGGCGACAAATGGTGACTCTTAAACGTAGAAGAGCCTCCAGCGGCCGAACGGTAAAGTCGCTGAACCACTGGTAGTTCGGTCTGAGGTTCGAATCCCGCGAACGGGCTGGCTGCATGGGCGTTTTCGTGGTTTTCCCTATGTGTAACGTGTATACGAGCCAGTTTCCCTTAGAAAGTCCTCCACGAAAGGCATCCCTACCCTTAGGCAGATAGCCCCAGTGTGCTTTGCCATAATTAAATACACCACACCACCACCTTAAACGTAGAAGTCCCAAAAATACAAACAAATAAAACATTTTAAATCTCATTACTTTCTGTTAAGAATTTTAATTTCTCCATAATTTCTTCTTTTTTAATTACCAGAATAGCTGATCAGTTTTCTGCCCTTATCCCCAATTACAAGACTAGCTAATTAAGGAAGTTTTTTTGATGCATAGTTATTTGAATACTTATTTTTAAATATTAAATTTAAGAAAAAAATTACCTTTGCGTAATACTAAAAGTAATTTTTAATGATAATCAAACCTTATTTGATATAATAAGATAATTAACAATCAAGAAAAATATATTTTATTATTGTTTTGTTTTACTGATGACATTTGTTAAAACGACCTCTCGCATCTAACGGAAAAAGAGTGTTATAATGTGTGGCCATTATAGCAAAAATTGCTTTAATGCGCACTTATGGACTCCGTGTGCATCGACCGTACTAATATTTCTAGGTTACTTGTCTTAGAAGCAATATGCACAAATGCACAGATATTCCCTTTTAAAATTAGAGGAAATTAAAAGATTCATCATTCAATTGTTTAGATAAATATTCTAAGTTTTCCTAAAAAGTAAAAAATACCTAACAAATGTTTTTTTAAAAGCGAATAATTCTTGTTTACATAGTACTTTAATAGTTTTAGAAACTTATAGAGTATCGTTATTTTTGGTAACATAAACTATTAGAACTCTACCTAAGACGTAAAGCGAATTGTCGCTATGTCTCTGTTACCACAGACTGGAGAAAAGACCCTTTGATTTAACTGAGACAAGGATTAGCAGAAGGTATTGCTTGTGCTTACAGAAGCAGCCAGCATTTATGGCGTAATTTAAAAGTAACTAATTCAAATTTAACGAAGTAAAATGTACCTTAGTCCAAAGGCTACACATAGAGAAAACGTGCATCGACCTAATACCGGCTTGACAAGCCTAATGGAGAGAATAATGCAGCATCGCTGGGAAACTGCTCTCTCGAAAATCAACAAGCAAACGTGACCGTCAGCAGGCAGACCACACTATTCGACTATTTAAAACCTTCCTTTAAATACTATCTCTTTCTACCTCATCTGCATATGCGCGAAGTAGAAATTAGCATCCTAGGAAAATGGAAAGCGAAAAAGGCAGAAAAGCCAATTAACATAAAATAACTGGTTAATAAAAGTAAAGGAATATTCTACAATCTTTCCATATGTGGTATAGCTCAGAAGAAATCAGCGTAGTTCCTTTAGTTTGGGTGATTTTTGTGAAGATTTAGAGTACTTCATTTAATAATTTATTAACCCCATTGTTAATACTAAGCTGAAATTTTGTATTCTTACATTTAAGAAAAATTAATAACAAATGTTCTCAGAAAGAAATGTAAGTTTTATAAATATAATGAAAACTTTTCAATTTAATTTTTCTATTAATTATGATCGTAAAATATTTCAGAGAGATTAAAATTTCTTGGGATTTTTCTTGAGTAAAATTTACTTACTGTTTAGACTAGGGGTTCCAAAACTTTTCTGAGTTGCGGCGCCTTTCTTCAACTGAATATTTTCTGGGGCACCCTAACCTAAGTAAAAGTATGACTAATCATGTGTAAGAAATAAAAATAATAAAACTCATCTATCTTCATTATTAAACATTTATTTTACTACTTTTTCATTTTATTAACATTAAATTAATAATCAGTCTAATAGATGAGCCTGCAAATCACTGCACATTTTCTTAAATCGTGGAGATAAACTGGACACGTCCATCCTCATTTCCTTTTCCACGTTAATTGTTTGCTCTATACATGCGTTTTATTACAGCGACTGCCAGAAACGAAGCTTCGCGCAAATACGACGTTGAAAATTCAATTACAATCCACTGAACCTTATCACTTAGAATTGGATATTCATCTTTTATTGAAATCCAAATTCTTTCAATTCCATATAGCAAATTTTGCTTTCTAACTGTTGTCGCAGTATAACTCGGTAAGATTCTCTTCCACAAAACGGAGCACTGGTATTAAATTGATCTTGAATCCATGCAAACCTATCCAAATTTTTATTTTGAAAATATGTCCCAAACTGAACAGTTACCTGTGATACGCGCCCTTCAGACATGGCTTTTATATCTTGAGAAAGATCAAGTTCATTTGACGTTAAGATTTGCCGGAATATTAAAAAATAATTTTTGCCTGTATTTTCATTTAACTGTCTTCTCCATAGTTTAACATTTTTTAAATAAAAGCTGATATCTTTTCCATAATTTAAGATTTTGTTTTATAAAAACTTATATTTTTTCCGTTGACTTCAAAAGACGTATACCTTTCCCATGCAGAGATAGATTAAGAGAATTCAACTTTTCAGAAATGTCGCATAAATAAGCCACTTTTATGAAAACATCGGCATAAGCAAAGTCTTTTGCATCTTTGTGTCCTTCCTCTTTGCCGAAATTTAAAGGTACGTGATAAAACATTACCACAGGAAAGCCACACTGCTGTAATACAACAAAGATGAGTGTTCGGCTGCCATATTCTTACACACGTTTTTTAAAAAGAAAACTTAGCTTTCAATAGACGAGATTTTATAAAATTTACCACATTCACCGTACGTTCTAATACCAGATGATTCAATGCAAGACTCACAAGCTTTGACGTAAGCGCCTCTCTGTGAGAAATGCAATGTATTCACAGTGCATATTCACATGCACTGTGAATACATTGCATATAGTAATTATTTGCTTCGAATAAATGCATGTAATCTCTCAGAGCAGCCAGACATGGAACCTGCATTCTGTGTTATTAAACAAAGGCTTTTTTAAAAAAAGCTTCCCAGCAGACTCACCAACCACGATGTTCACCATATCTACAGCATCGAATAGAATAAGTTCTTCCGCGATGATATGAGGCTTCTTACATTTCGCGATTCTGTAAGCTACCTTGTAAGATAAAGAGTTGTTTGTTATTGATGCATTCGTGCGGTTTAAGAAATGTTATTGTTCTTTCAGTTCTTTTAACTTCCTGGCAAAAATTCCTAGAGGTTTGCCAATCATGTTGGGGTGATTAACTTTTAAAATGGCACTTCATTTATCTTGGGAGCATGCACTGCGCTGTGAAAACATTCATATACAATACACATAGTGGTTTCTCTTCAAAATTCATTTCTGTTGGCGTAAAACCAAACTCTAAATAAGCGTCGATATTTTTGTTTCTTGACAGTCTTGCCACTAGTTGAAGACATATTTTCTTTATCTTCACTTCTTTTTCGCTTACGATTATTACTGTTCCAGAATAGGTTCCATCGTCAAAGAAAGGACAGCAAAAGATCACTAGATTATTTATTTTACAACAAACAACAGGTTATATAACATTAGCTGTACTAACATGAACTAATTTATATCGCAGGTTAATTTATATGAAGCGGCCTAATTTTTAATTAGATGTACATTTAATTTCATTTTAATGTTATACAAGCTTTCAAGTTCAGATTGTTGACAAAAATGGAGAATATCCGGAGAAATAATAAATGATATTGCACAAATGAAACTAGCTAGATGCAAGTTTTAATAAGTTTTAATATTTTTTATGTTATTTATATACAATGACTTTTATCATAAATTTGATGAGTCACATCCTAGAGTCATTAGGTTTGCCGAAGCAGGAAATATGAAAACTCAACGATGGCTTAGCCGGGATTCGAACTCCGGACTTTTCGTTTACCGGTTGGATGTGCTTTATAATTACACCACATCAGGCATGCGGGAAGGAAGAAGAAAATTTTTTACACGATTCGTCAGCCACAGTATTGCATTAATTACCAAAAAATTAGAGCTGATGGAAAGAAGCAAGTTAGAGAACTGGAGGAATTAAATAGAAGGGGAAGAAAATATATCTTTTATGAAAACATTATGTGGTCCAAAAACTTTGTAAACTTTGTTTATGAAATTTCAGGTA